GAGAGAGAGAGAGAGAGAGAGAGAGAGAGAGAGAGAGAGAGAGAGAGAGAGAGAGAGAGAGAGAGAGAGAGAGAGAGAGGTATGGAAATTGAATTTGTTGAGGTTCATACCAAGACACCACACTAATTCTCGTGGACTGGCATAACTCCCATAATAAAGACCACGAAAAATATGAAGATAAACCACAATAAAGAATAGAGTGAAACTTTCACACCCTTGGTGATTACTCGAGTCCTCTCCGAACCGTACGAGATAGTCACGTAAAAATGATTTAGCTATGAAATCATTAAAAACCTGAGGGCGGGGGGGGCCAGGGCAGAAAGATCCTCTCCCAGGGCCAGGGGAAAGGCCGAGAGTGTCAACAACAGCCACAGGAGCATGCTGGAAAGATGCTCGGTACCCATAGGGGCATATGGGAAATGTTTCTGCTGGTTCTCAACGGCTATCCGGTAGGGGCATATGGGAAATGTTTCTGCTGGTTCTCAACGGCTATCCGGTAGGGGCATACTGGAAATTTGGGAGAGGTACCGGTAGGGGCATATGAAACATGTATGAGGCCCAAACGACACCAGGGGTTTTCTGGAAACATCATTTGTTGTCAGAGGGGCGCAACAGGGTAAGTTGGCCGTCAGAGGACCATGCCGCAAATTAATCGAAATTTCAGGGGCATCTCAAAAAATTCCCTTCTCAGAAAGAAAATCTGAAAAAATATACATATGTCGTGTAAAATAATAATACAAACAACGTTTGCCCGGGATGCATGTTCAAATTCCTGGCCAAAGTCGAGTTAAAAATCAACAGCATCAAATAAAATTTTTAAAAAATATATACAAAACAGTTCGACGGAACACGTTCGGGAGGCGTTTGACCGAGAACCCCCGATCGTGTTCGGGCATTCACAAAAGCCCGAACTTGTTCGATGTGCTACATAGTGTTTTCCCACTTTATTTCTCGTGAAGGTCGACGCCCTTGAAACTCGAAAACTTGGGAGTCCAAAGATCCAATCAATATTAAATTCCCCCTAGGCGGGAGTTGTCCCACTGTATTTTTCGTGTAGGTCGACTGGCACGACTGCCTTTAAAAACCAAACTCGAGCTGGCCCGGGTTTCCACGACGAATGACATGTTACGCTAATCCACAAAACGCTCAAGGGAATGACGATTTAATACAATGGGCCTCGCGCCACTGCACAACATTCTAAATGCATGTGGACCTAGGCTACCAGAGTGGTCTTGTACGGACTATGATCAGACACATCGGACATTTTGAACATATACGGACTATGATCAGCTCTAGATACATTTGGAATATTTTGCTCTATATACAATGTTGAATTTCTTCCCGTCTAGAAGAAGAGTTTCGGATGCATAGATGCATGTGTGGACACATCCAGCACTTCAAATGTATAGGGACCGTGATCAGCTCTAGATACATTTGGAACTCTAGATACATTGTCGAATATCTTTCTTCTAGAAGAAGAAGAATTTAACAAGACAGAATTAAGAAAGAAGCAGACAGCATGAGTGAGGCACACTGAAACCGTTCGTTCAGCCTTTTTTTTTTTCTTTTTTTTTTTCAAGTTCAGCCTTTTCCTGTAAAGCTCCTTTTTTTTCCTCTGTGCAGTTTCTTCTTTTACTCTTTCTTTTCCTCCGTTAATAACAGTTAAAGGAAAAAACTTCAAAAAAGTGAAATTATGCAGATGTCAAAAAAACACAAAGTTACATTATGCAGATGTCAGAAAACCACAAGGAAGAGAAGAGAAATGCCGTACCTCCTCTCCATAGGCATCTAAATACGGAGATCCCCAAATGGCATTGCGATCCCCCCGCATCAAAAATATTTGGGTTTCCTGAGGCAAGAAAACGAGTCCCAAACAGATAAGAAAAAGAGCCGAAAACAGAAAAGAAAGCACAATGAAATCTCAGCGGCTCGACATCGAAATGGGTTTCACTGTTCACAATTAAAGTCCCATAAAAAAAAAAAAAAGCAAAAAGCTAATTTTTAAAATGTTTGAAGTTCCTTCCTCGATGAAGAGGCTGTGCTATTTCGACAAAAAAAACAATTACATCGCAAAATTGCAACCAAAAAAAAAAGAACCAAAAGAATGAACCAAAAAAAAAAAAAAAAAAAAAAAAAAAAAAAAACAAAAAAAAAAAAAAAAAAAAAAAAAGGAAAACAAAAAAACTGTCTCCGTAATTGATGTGATCTGTAAAGCTGCACGTTCTAATAAACACAGAAAGGGCATGCAATCTGTAAATCATTCCTTTTCTTTTTCCTTTTTTTTGGTTCTTTTTTTTTAAAAAGCATACGTCCACATCCCCATGTTCGTATGAATGCGGAGTTGTGTTAGCGTGCGCACGCGCGCGCGCGCGAGATAGAGAGAGAGAGAGAGAGAGATTGGAGTGCTTCTCTGTTCTGCTAATCTGACAAGGCTAATAATAAAAAGGTTAACAAGTTTTAAGATAAACATTATCAAAATCAGATAAGTTCATTCACCCCTACTTGTGGAGTCCAGTCCACCTCTTTCTGCCGTGTGGCGAGGTCATTAGGATTTCTGCACCTTCCCCTAGGAAATAATCTTTTTGCTCTACGGCTCGGACCCCAAAGCGGAAGCCGACTGAGCGCAAGCGCCCCCATCCCCAACACACACACACACACACACACACAGAGGACACTCTCGCCTTCTTCAAGTAGGGTACCGTCAATAGTTGCTTGATGTGGTCCCCCTGTCACAGATCCCTTTTGTCATCATTTCTATGTCATTGCAAGAAACCCAACTGATTTCAACACCAGATCGCACTTGCAGCACACCGAAAACTCACAAAACATTCACCACAAGCATCTAGATGACCAGTCAGCGCACATGAGGATGAAAACCCCGTCCAGTTTGAATACAAGCAGATTGAAGTAGTTAATGGCCGCTATTGCCAGCATCAACAAACAGGTAACCCTCTCTCTCTCTCTCTCTCTCTCTCTCTCTCTCTCTTTTTTTCCACTTCCTCTTCGGGGTCCGAGCCATAGAGCAAGATTGCTTCCTAGGGAAAGGAGCAGAAAGCCTAACGATTTTGTCACACAGCAGAAAGAGGTGGACTGGATTCCACAGGTAGGGGTCAATGAACTCATCTGATTTTTTTACTGTTTTTAATCAGCCTTCTCACATTAAACCACCCGTACATCCGAAAAGGAGATTGAGCCTCTCCTAAAAAATAGAAGGCCATGAACTGTTGATTCATTTTGTCGATGGTCCACAGCCTCCAAATTTTTAGGAGAGGATCGGACTGCATTTTCAGATGTACTGGTGGTTTAAACCACAACTAGTACCATTGCCAAGTGGGAAAATAGCGGGCCTCAGCTGGGCCTCCGACCTTTTAGGAGTCGGAAACGAAACAACAAACGCCGACGAGAATTGTCAATGGCAGCCGTTGTCGGGCCCGGTCTCCGATTTTTAAGGAGTTTGGGAAGGGCAGGCTGCCAGCATTCCCTATTTTAGCATTTTCCAAACACTGGGGGAGGTAATAGCGAAGAGTAAGCAAAAGAAATAAAGGGAAGAAATTTGAAGAGTACCAATCCTTACTTGTGGGAGCAATCAATGCTGCAATGGTTCCGCCCGGGCGTAACACGGGGAAGAAGCGTATGTGCGGGTCTTCTTTCAGACAAGGGACGCTGGACCCCGTTTCCAGCAGGTGCTGATTCCCACCAATAGAACGGCCCTTTTTCAAAAAAAAAAAAAAAGAAGAAGAAGAAAACCTCAGGAAATCCAGACCGATTCTTTTGCCAAAATCTGCTGGCAAGTGCAAAGAATGAGCATAGTTTTCAACATCACCCACCCCCCCCAAAAAAAAAAAAAAAAAAAGGGCGTTATGGTCCTGGGTCCATATCCATTCTGGGGAGAAGAGATTTCAATTTTCAACTTTTAGTTTTACGTTTTACGGTTTTATAAATTTCACTGTTCTTAGGAAAGTAAGAACTTGACTCAGAAAAAAATGCCACAAGGCCACCGATTATTTATTAATTCTCCACTTACCCGCAACAGTAGGTATACCCCGACGCCTGCGCCGCACTCTTTCGCATGTCGGTAGCACTCTCCCAGCCCTTTAACACTGCAAATCGAAGAAGGGGAAAACATCCGAAAAACAGAAAGAGATCGAAAGAATATTTAATATTATTTTATGGACCAAACTTCCAATCCAGATGGAACAAGACGAATCAAATCATTTTTTTTTTCAAATAGTGCGACGATGACATGTCAAGGCTGTCACTCTGATGCTTTAAAAGACAAAAAAAGTGGGGGGATACTAGGGATATTAATCATATTATTAAATTTAATTTAAAAATTTGTAAATACGGAGAAAGTTGCACAACAAAAGCAACGAGATAAAGTGAGCACACTGGTAAATGATAAATAATAAATATGCAAACAAATAGGAGTTAAGAAACAAGAGAAAAGAACCCTTGTGAGAGAAGGCACTAATTTGGGGGGGGAGGGACCTCCCCCCTTGCTAGGTGACTAGTGCCTCAAGTTTTAGGCCTTTCTCCTTCTCTGGCCTGATCCCCCCCCCCTCCCCTCCCCTCTCTTCCTTTGGAAGTACAAACATGGTTGCCCGTGACGAGTGACCGGACTGCTGCTCCCCAGAGTAGAAGGGGTCATTGTGTTATTAAAACACGCACACACACACAAAAAAAAGGCACTAGTGTTTGGTGAATTACGATTCCGCTGTTCGAACCTATTTCACTTTTCACCTTTGTTATGTTTTCACAACTCTTTAGCGAGGAGAAATAAAATAAATAAAAAAATTGCCAAGTTTGAAAGTCCTGAGATTGAAATTTCAACCTCAACGCCCTGTTTCGCCCCTCCTTATTCAAAATTTCAAATATAACAATTTAACAATTACGTTGGCTCGACTTGGCCGCAGTGAACCTGATTCTCATTGAGAACCCAATCAGCACTCTCATACAAATCTGAACCCAGCGCTCAATATGAAGAGTCTCCAAAGATGATTGCAAGTCCGTATCTCGACGGGATGCTCATTTTAGAAGAGTAGCAAACCATCATAGAAGGGGGGACATGGAAGAAAGAGATAGAGGAGAGAACAGCCAGAGAGGAGGAGAAGAGTTACATCGAAAGCCAATAATACATATCTGTCACTCTTTAACTTCCCACTTCCACCTCGACCTTCTTCCCTATTGCCACCTCAACACTGCATGCTCTTCTCTGACGACCACTGACACAGTCACTGTGCAGATCTCAGTAGAGCGCCCATCCTCCTGCCACAGATTAAATCAACAACAGAGGATGGCTCTTTGTCAAAAAAAAAAAAAGAAAGAAAAAAGGGAGGATGGCACTGTCCTACCTCTACTTCGTGAAGACCAGTAGCAGATCCATCACATTGGCGGCGCCGCGCCAGGTAAGTCCAGGTATGCTTCCCATCAAACCTCTCGTCAGTCTCACAGATCGGATCCTCCTCCTCCTCGCCCAACCTCATCATCTACAACTATTAATTCTGGCGGCTCTGGCCTCTCCAGCATGACCTCCCACAAGGCTGGCGCCCTCCAGCAGCATCCGGCGCCAGCAACTCCCTATACCAGCCTCGCATGTGGCAACTTGGCCACAAGCCAGCGCAAGGCAGAATGAGCCTCCCCTCGGCCACGTCTTCTTCTTATAGCGTTGCCTGCGGCGTTAACCACCCTCGTCCTGGACCGTGCGAACGGCCGAGATTTACCTGAAGTCGACGGCTTGGATGCAATGCTGTCCTAGAAGTGTCGTGTCCCCTGATGGAACTGGCATCTTCTGGAAACCTGCACACAACCTTTGATGTGCATCTGATCTACAGCGGTGGTCGCCTACACGGAGACTTTGACTTTGGGGCCGCTTTTTCCCGTCCCCGGTCTTACTCTTGATTTTCCGAAAGTCGACTGCACGGCATGGGAGTACGGGGACGCAGCTCTTGACTCAGGGCCTAGTACCCCTGGACCCGAAGGACTTGCTCAGACCTCTAACGTATACTCGGGACACGACTTTTGACCCCTCTTTCTGGCCTTTGACCGAAGGTTACGATCCTGACCGTGACTCGTGTGCAGTTGGAGCTGAGTTTCCCGTCCCGGGTCCGACTCTTGATTTTCCAAAAGTCGACTGTACAGCGTGGGGGTATAAGAGGCAGCGTTTGACTCAGGGCCTAGCACCCCTTGACCAGAAGGACTTGCTCAGACCTCAAGGTATACACAGGACACAACTTTTGACCCCTCTTTCTGGCCTTTGACCAAAAGTTACAACCCCGACCGTGACTCGTGTGGAGTTCGAGCTGAGTTTATTGCATGGCTGTCAAAAGTCAAATGCAACGCTTAGTAGCTAGCACACGGCGTTCGTTGTATCGAAGTTGAACATGACTTCTATGTTCCAAAAACGACAAGGAAAGGAAAAAGAAAAAAGAAAAAAAACTTAAAAAAAGAAGAAACGAGAACCTGAAGCACACCACAAGGCAATACTATCACGACAGACTGGCAAGCCAAAGGACTCAAAATCATCAGCTGGAACGTCAACGGGCTGGAAAACGCATTGATCTACTAATCTCCCAAATCATGGCAACATAACAAGAGCAATAGAAAAAATCCTGGAGGGTTGTACTTTCGCCCTACGGTCCAATCGAGAAGGGCTCAGCGAACGGGGGACAGCTATACTCATACCTGACGCCTCCAAGCTTTGCGCGACAAGTCAGATACTCAGCAGTGGGGGAGACAGCGCAGAAGGTAGGTGGTCATGGCTAGATATCAGATGGCAAGACTACTGTCTTCACCCTAATAGAACGCCCGGTCATTATAGCCGTACGTGGTACAATTTCGGGTCCAGAATAGTTTAGAAATCTTGAAATAAGAAGTAAGATTCTTCCAGAACAATCCCACTTCTTATTTCAAGATTTCTAAACTAAACTTGATTAACTAACCGAGATATCATCTAACAATACTGATGCATTATAAATCTCTAAAATAATCACCAAAAATACTGCAAAACGAGAACCGGTGATCTTCGCAGGCGATTGGAACATGACCTTGGAGCCCAGCCTCGACCGCATAGTCCCAACTGATAGGCCCGACAAGAACCGGAACCCACGTAAGAAATATCATGACAGAGTTCGACCTCATCGATCCCTTCAGAACGCTGCACCCAGAGAAAAAGGCCTTCTCACTGGTCAAAAAGAACCAGGCCAACCGGACGTCGCTGTCCCAGATCGACTTCTTCCTGATCTCAAAGCATCTCCAAGGAACAATCAAACAGGCTGAGATCCGCCCACCAGCGAGCTTCAGGTGTCTAGATCACAAACCTGTAGAACTGCTCCTGAACTTAAAACTTCCCAACGGAAACAGGACGGGGCTTCTACAGATGGCCAATAGGATCATAAATCTGACAGACAAATGCTAAGACATTGACCAAGAGGGTTTCATCCCAGGCCGGCGCGTTTGTTTGTGTGTGCGCGTTTGTGTGTGTGTGAGTGTGTGTGTGTGTGTGTGTGTGTGTGCGCATTTGTGTGTGTGTGTGAGTGTGTGACTCAGTGTGAGTGTGTGAGTGTGCGCGTTTGTGTGTGAGTGTGTGTGTGAGTGCGTTTGTGTACATACTCGACAATGTGATGACTCTGAACGAAGCGGCCAAAAAGATTACCGAGAAACGGATGAAGGCAGCGATCCTTTTCTTTGACTTTGAAAAGGCCTACGATCAAGTCAACTGGGATTCCTTCACACTTGCATGGAAAAATGGGAGTTGGCCTAGATTTCAGAAAGTGGGTCAGGATACTGTACGCTGATGCAACCCCACAGAGTGCAAGTCAGCAGGATCCTATCGGAGACCTACCACATCTCCAAGTCCGTATGCTGACGCAACGTCGCAGAGTGCAGGTCAACGGCCCGCCCTGGACTTTGTTGGGTGGCCTGCTGACGGTCGTCGAGGCCTGGATGCCTCGCACTCTGATATACTTGTCGTCAGATTGGGCACAACCGCAGTTCTTCGATAAACAGAAAAGCAAAAAGCAAACCACGGAACTTCAAAAAGGGCACCACAAACCTTGTATCCCGATCCCAGTCACGGCAGTTAACACAGAGGATTGAGGGTTGAGGTCACTTACATACAACAACTCCTCTGATTATGGCGGTAACTGCAGCAAAGCCTGCCACAAAACAGGCAGAGAGCAGGCCTGTCTGGAACCGTGCAGCATCTTGGGCATTTTTCTGTAACATACCTGGGAAAGAATGAATGCATGAGACACAAACAACGATCGAAAAAAGCCAAGCATTAAAAAAAAAAGAACAATAAAAAA